GCGAGCGAGATCTGGGAGAGGGGAGAGAGGGGAACGAAAATATATGTATATATATGCAATTTTCTCTCGCTTTATACAAACACAAACGCATTTTATACATTTGCGTTTGTATAAAAAGCGAGAGAGGCGAGGGAGAGAATGAGAGTGGCGAGCGAGGTTCACCAGGAGAGAGGTGAAATAGCAACAGTTTGCTATGGGGTACAATTAAATCAAACTATATTTATATCATTTAATTTAAATTAATAGTTTGCTATTATATACAATTTTCCCTTAATAATATTTTGTTGGGCCGTGCACGGGCCATATTTTTCTAGTATGTACTAGATGGAAGAGTTTTTTTTTAAAATATAACATAAAAGTAATTAGATCGATATTCAATATATATAACATGTAGGAAAAAATATACATTGAATCCAATCAGTTATTTGTGTAAAGATCCCGATGAATAATAGATGACAGCGAAAGAAAAGGGAGTAAAGCCCGAAAACCCATAGGAATGGGTGGAGTTGGTAAGCTAACACATAGTAGTATAAAAAAGAAGCTTACCAACCCACCCATACCCAAAAGTTTGTGTTGGGCTCAACTCCCATTTCAGTTTAGCTGGAAGCCTTTATTAGGCAGTAACATTTTTGTATGGCATTTAGAAAGAGTCATGTTTGATAAAGGACTGGGCTGGCTACTTATATATATATAGTGTATACTGTATAGTTGATAAGGTTGAAGTTTTTTCTTTTAATTTTGAGATAAAGCTTGGTCTTTTGTTTGTTGCTGCGCGCTAGTAAGAGGTTGAGTTTTTGTTACACTAAATTAGAATCTCTGACCAAGACAAAATGTGCTATTTCTAATATAGACAAAAGATTTTGTCCTAAATTTCTTATCTTATTTGAATTATACTGTAAATTATTTTAATTCGACAAGTTTTTTTGGAAAAGAAGTTTTGGACTTATATAAATAGTAGTTTTTTATTATTCTCATACAAAAACACTATAATATTTGAAATGTAGTCGTTAAAGAAATTTGTTCATTCTCTCAATAGATTTTATATTTTTATATTTTAGTTTTCTTATATATAGATCTATTGATCAAATCATATCAAAGTTTAAGTTTCTTATTAGTATAATAATTTTTTTTCTTGTATGATTTATCATCGCCAAAATTATGTGTAATTATTAGCTTTCGCGCATACTATTTTTTCGATCCCAACACAATTTTTGTTACATGCACGTCTTTCTACTTCTTTTCTTAAACAACAAAAAGACGCACCGGTTGATGCACTCTGCGAGGAATGGGTGAACAGCTTTCTAATTAATAAATAATTTTTAATATACAGAAAATAATAATTAATTAAAAAAGTATGATTTTAGGGAAGGTAAATTAGTCCAAATATATTACTATTATTTTTTCATTAATAATAAGATAGAATAAAATAATTGTAACAAAAAAGTTAAAATAAGAGAGGTATCTGCAACATTGCAAATGTGAAGAAAAATCAGTAAAACGAAACAAAACAATCACTGAAATTTAACACTATGTATTTATTGTTTTACTTAATGCACATGAAAATAACTAAAACAGCCATTAATGGACAAAAAATAAAAAATAAAAAAATAAGCACCTAAATACGAACATGACAATATAGACTGGATTTCTAAAAATGAGTAGATTCTGCTTGTCGTCGACAATTAGAGCGAATTAAGGGAGTATTGATAAGTTTAAGTTCTAAGTGGAGTAGGGGCGGCAAAATCAAATTCAATCCATCCAACTCGTTTAAGTTTGGATAGGTTATTGACCCGTCAATTCATTACCTCAACCCATTTCAACGCATTAAGAATTGAGTTGATATGTAACCCGAATTGACTCATGAGAAATCTTGTCAAAAAAATTTATTATTTTTTTCAATTTGATATGTTATATATAGTCATAATTTTTTTTATTAGGTATTAAAATAGTTTAAAAGAACAAATAAAATAATTAAGTTTAGTAAAAATTGAGTTGAGTTTGGTTTTGACTCGTTATATAGCTCATTACCTAACCCGTTTTGATCTAAACAAATCTGGATTGAGTTAGATCTAGACCCGATTGCTCATAACCTATCATGACCCGCCCAAATTTAACCCAACCCACCGAATTGTCATCCCCAAAAGTGGAGTGAGCTCATTTTACTAGGTACTAACTCAACACTCCAACCCCATTCATTACAAGTCAGCTCCTTTTGTTTTCTTGATGGCCTTTCTGGCGCCTGGCGGCCGTGCCTTGGATTTTTAAAATCTTGTCAATTTTTTTTAAAAATTTGTTTTGGTGGGAATTTCAAAATGAGCAAGTGGATTGTTAGGCACCGCTTGGGTTGTCGGTTTCTAGTGCATGCTATAGAGACCTTTTCCCCAACAGTACATCTCTCTTACGCCACAAACACACATTCGAATAAGCCAATACAAAACATGTGATAATTATTAGAGTAGAATATAATACAGCTAAGACAAATAAGATCTTTATTGATAGATAGGAATGAGTGTTTTTTATTATTTACATATGAAGAATGACTCAATTAAGTGTAAAGTGAAATTTGGAAAGAGTGATCCATCTCTCTTTGACTTAGTTTTTGTAACCTGAGTTAGACCCAAGCGAAGCTGACATTCAAATAAACAAGTACGGAATTATAAATAGACAATAAGAACCAAAAAAAAATTGAAATCTCTTCACAAATAGTTCATTCACTAAAGAGAGGATTCATTATAAGAATGGCTGTGTTCTAACAAATCATAAGTAGTATTCCACCTTGTTGGAATATCAAATATTAGGGATTTTAACGACTGATTGATTATGAGTGAAACACCATTTGCTAACAATTAAATTCAGAATATGACATGCACAATTAACGTAACAATGCTTCAATTCTTGCACGATTTATTGCAGATTGTAAAACTCATACATTACTGTTCTTGAATAACTAATTACCACAACAGGCTAGTTATACCAATAGAAACAGAACAACCAGGGCTATGCTCTTTATCTGGTGCCAGCGGAACTTGGAAGAAATGGGTAAGAATCAGGAGATGGCATCACACAGAGATTGCCATTGAAATAGACCCTCCGAGGGAAAGGTGCAATTGTTTTACCATCCTTCTCAAGTGTTAAATCTGAGTGGACATTTCCTTTTGGTCCAGCTTGCATCAGGACATCAGTATATGGCTTTCTCCCATAAAACAAGGCTGTGTCATCTACATAGTTAAAATATCATCAGCCTGATGATCGACTATATGTCTCTTCTGTTTATGAATCGAATAAAGAGATAGGCAGCTTACTAGTTGATAGGTTGGGCATGAGACGCTTGTATGAAAAACTGGAAACTTGAGTCGCGTTGCTGAGGTTTGGATGTTGAACAATGAGTGTCCACTGTGTATAGTTGAATCGGTAGTTGAAGTTTGTGATGGTCATCTTTACACTCCAATACTTGTTATAGTTTGATTTAACATGCCAATGCACATTGATAGGGCACATGTGTTTTGTGCATTGCAGCTCTGCCTTCCGCACATTTACTCCCTTTCCACTCAGTGTCTTCCTACAATGTACTTGCTATGTGCATCAGCACCTTCATAACAGAGAAACTATTACTACTACTAGTACTAATTGAAGATATGAAATAAAATCTTACATGACACAGTTGCTACTGTTGCGGCAGCCACAAGAACACGAAGGACAAGGGGTGATACTTGCATTGTGAAAAGAAGACAAGGAGACACAACATGTTGGTTTTGGAGAGTCTAAGAACTGAGAGTAAGTGCAAATCACTCTCCATGTCACTGCATAAAGGTTAAGGTTTAGCTAGTGTAGTGTAGTATATTATTTACTTCCAATCTAGTGTGGAAAATAAAACTTACTCATAGCCTGTGTCACTTGTAGACCATCATTTTTTACGAAACGAGTGGGACGGATGATTTTAGCAGGACCACAAGTATAGCCACCACCTGGAGCAACCAAAGTGAAATTTTTGGGAAGTTTCACTGTTGTGTTTGTATTCCCAGCAGAGCCTACGCTTATCTGAAATGCGGAGAGAGCAGCAGAAGGGTCCTTTCCCATCGATGCCATTACACCGCCCGTGCAGCAGTTAGCAATTTGCTGGTTATAAGGGGTATTTGGCATCAAATCAACAATTGCAGGCTTTTTCTCACAGCTGTGAGGAATATTGCCTCTAAACTTTGAGCAATCCCCTTGATCAGTAGCTTGTGCTCCCATCATGGCCCAAATCACCTCATTCTTTGCCCATGTCCATCCTAAAGTCCATCCAGGGCTCGTTATTGGACGATACATTTGGAAATTGTTCATTGTCACCACTGCCTGAAATTCGAAAAATTCATTAACCAAAGATCTCAAACTGCTAATTAAAATGTATTAACATATAATTACCACATAACCATCAGGAGTCCAAGAAATCAAATCCCATTTGATTGTTATGTTTCCCTTTGGATCCAATGCGTCATAGGCAGCTGCAATTACAAGTAAAAAACTTCAAATTAGACTATATACAGAAGATTGAAATTTGAATGTTGAGAACTAATGTTGGGGCTAAATTGCAATACCTGCACCAGAACATAACACAAGAAGAATAATTGTATATGAGTTCCAAAAAATGTTGGACTCCATGATGAAAATTTCTGTAGAAAATACAAGAGCAGCTTATCTTCAGCAGTAACAAAAGATGGAAGAAAGAAATAGTCTAGCAACAAGTCTAATAAGGCTGCTTCACAAATTAATGTAAAGGAGTTGACTTTGGCTTGTATGAAGACTTCTTTTTTTGGTTTCCCCCGCGTCTGGTATACAACACCTTAGAGTCAATTAAATCCAAATTCACGTCGAAAAATCTCACAGCGTAAAGCACTCCCTCTCCCTAACAAAGGCGATTCCGTAAGCCAAGTAGACTTAATGACTAAGACTGTATATATAAAATACTACTTGTATTGCAAAATATGTCTCGAAATAAATTACTAGTACTGTCTATTCAATGAGATGTCATAGTATTCAAAATAATTTCCCAAAAAGGCTATTGCAAAGTTACTGGATACAAGGCAAGTGAAATTCTTAGCAAGTACAAAATTAAATGTTACATTAATTGCTCATTAGTGAAGTTTGGAAAGATGCTCCTTAACTTCGGCCTCTGTAAACTCACGAATTTCATCTGTCATGTTACATTTTTCTTCAAAATCCATCTCAAAAGCCTCTAGAAAATCCTTGTCTATCTCCTCTAGTCCTTGCATTCTTCGTTCTGCTCTAATCCAATCCTTCAAACACTCTATCCTTTCAACTGATTCATCACCCAATAAGTTTTCTTTCTCCCATATTTGCACCTCATCCTGTTTAAACACTTTGTCTAGCGGAATAGTAGACACAGGAACTGCTAGTACATCACGTGCCATTCTTGAAAGTAACGGAAATTTCTTCGTGTTCCCTTTCCACCATGCCAAAAGATCAAAATCAGACTCATCGATATCATATTGTTGCTCCAGATACACACTCAGCTCATTAGAATTAGCTGATCGTTTCGATTCATGTGACATTACAACTTGTTGTTTCCAAAATTCGCAACCTGGAAAACGCTTAGAAGAAGATGATGATGATGAAGCAGGAGAGCTAGGAGCAATTGGGGCCTGTTTGGGTTCAACTGCAACAACATCATAACCTGAATAAATCTTGTTAGCTAATTTCAATAAATCATCTTTATGAGAACATAAATCTTTTTCACTATAGTTCAAATCCAAATTCTGATATAAACATTTCAGTGATGTTTCTATATGCTCTAATTTTATCATAGGATCTAATAATGCACCAAGTAAATATATTGGATGTACAGGGATAAAACGTTTGATAAATTCAGCTTTCATATCAGGCAAAAACTCACTAAAGAAAGGATTATCCTTATATTTTAAAAATAACGAAGATATGTCGTTCAAATAAACAAGTACGGAATTACAAGTAGGATAATAAGAGCCGGAAAAATGTGTAATCGCACTATGAAACTTTTGTAAACAATCAACCAACTCTTCACAAATATTCCAATTTATGTCAGTCGAGTCATTTTCATCATCAACAGATTTAGTTTCATAATCGTCATCATTATCAATAGATTTAATTTCATCATCATCATCAACAGCAGCATCAGCAACAATAGCTTCACTATAAGCTTCTGTAAGAATGGCTTTCTGTTCCAAGGCACGGACTAACATATCATAAGTAGTATTCCACCTAGTCGGAATATCAAGTACTTGGGATTTCATTATGTGTTTATCAGCTAAACACCTTTTGCTAAATTCAGTATTTCTATAACTACAACATCTAATATAACCCATGGCTCTTCTTATTTTCTTAATTTCAGGTTTAAAATGAGTAATTCCATCCCTAACAATTGAATTCAGAATATGACATGCACATATAACACTTTTATGATTCAATTCTCGCACAGCTGATTCATTAGTATTCTCAATCATTTTCTCTTTAAAATACGAATTAACAGCAAATAACTTATCATTTATACTGTAACGATACATCAATTTAGCCATCATCTCAACAACTGTAGTAACATCGCGGAACTCCACAGTTAATCCTGTTTGATATTCTAAAATCCGTTTTTGCATAATAAAGTTATCATCAATCCAATAAGCAGTAAAGCATACAATGTCTATTCCTGAACATTCAGTACCAACTATGTCAATACCTAAAGCTACACTACAAGAAAGAGACTTAAAATTTTCAATTACATGACTTCGATACTTATAAAATTGTTTTCTGATTTCCGATATAATAACTCCCCTCGGAATAGGCTTATACGCTGGAAAATGAGCATTTCGAATATAAATTGTAAGAGAATCCCTGAAATTTGTAGTATAAAGTATTGATTCAACACATAACAATTTAACAAGTTCAGCACGATCAATTTCCTCAGAATATTCAGCGGGATAGTAGAAAATTTGAATATATTTTTCTAGGGAATCAGTGAAACTCTTACTATAAAGTGACTCAGCAATTATAAATTTAGCTACTTCCCAGCTGTCACGTTTCTGACAATATTTAAATTGTTCTCCAGTTTTAGGATCAATTTTGAATTGTACAGCATTACTATCACAACTTTCATTATCTGAGCCAACTTCATCATGACCGCGCTTGTTTTTTAATCGTTTATTACTGGGTGATGCAGACATTATTAGGAAATTAAGACAAAAATAATTAAGAGATGAAACGATTGTACCAAATTTGACGAAACACAACAAAAATCGAGCTGTTGAAACTTGAATTCCAATCACTTGAGAGACAGAGAGTGATTTTGAGGAGAAGAAGAGTTTTTGTAGTGTAAAAGATGTTTTTATATAGAATTTGAATGAAAGTAATTTTTTTAAGAAGTAAAATCAAATGTAGAAAAAAAATTAACAAGGGACAACGGTCATATAAAATATTACCGTTATTTTAATATTTAACGGTCATAAATTGTTTAGTAACAAAAAGATTTGTAAATAGATTAAGGACATTCGTTCTTCGAAGAATGTGCAGAGTAGGATTGGTATTTGCTTGTTCACTTTAACTTTATTTTAACGAGAGTTATATTGCGTAAATTTTGACAAACATCGATATTTGGATGGTTTTTGTCTTATTTCGATTTAAAAATAAGTGTTTAAAAGCGTTATTTTATCTTACTTAAACATAATGCTTTAAAATTATTTTGGCTTGAAAATACTTAAAATAAGTCAATTCAAATAGTTTTTTTTTTTATTTTCATCATATTAATATGAGAAAGATTGCAACATATAATATTTTTATGTAGTTTTTAAATATCTATATTTTAAATATTTAATCAATCTAATTTAATTTAGCTCTAAAGATTAAACAAATTGATTTTCATGAAATTAATGTAACAAGTAACGTAAAACTGAACAAATGGAGTATAATGGGGGTAACCATTAAGCATTAATTCATGAGTTCGTTACAAAGAATGTGTTCGAGAATTATTTTTTCTTATGCGGTCGGTTATTTATGGAGAATTTTTAATATCAATTGATCAACTAAAGTAAGAAATGTCTAGGCTATAGTATGACTTATTGAAATGAATGAATATAATAAATAGTAATATATTTTATTTGTTTAACAATACTGCATAATAGACAAGACACATAAAAAAATCAAAATTTCAAAAGTAGCATTAACATTCTTTTTCTGCTTAAACTAAACCCTTTTTGTGAAGACAAAAATAAAAAAACTACCAAACTTGGTCCTTCATTGACTAAACAACTTACAATATCACCCGAGTTAATTTTTTATAGTATTTATCCTACTTAAATACTATAAAAATCCTTAAACGTTTACTTCTCCAGTCACTTTTACTAATCTACTATTTCAAATATAGTATTGTCACTTTTTATATTTAGTTATTTATTTTTCAAGACTTAAAATACTACTCATCAATTAAGAGTAGTATGGTAAAATAATCATGTCAATCATTATATCTGTCAAATTCAAATGAGACAAGTAAAAGTCAATTGGCGGAATATTTTGACTTTAAAACGCTTATAATAAGTCAATTTAAATTGGCTCTTAAGTTACATTTTTTTAATCATATTATCATGCGAAGAATTGCAACTTATAATATATTTTTTAATATATATAATTTTTCAATAATTAAATAATTTTTAATTAATCTAATTTAATTTAACTCTTAAAATAAATCAAATTGATTCTCCTAAAGTAAAATGTGATATTTAGTCAGAGCTCTAATTAGAGCTCCGGACACCGAATGGAAAAAAAAAAAAAAAGAGAATACAATATAGCGGATGACCATTAAGCATTAATTCATGAGTTTGATACAAAGAATGCGTACGATAAATTCTTTTACTTATGGAGTGCGGTTATTGATTTTTTTTACAACAAATTGTTATAGTTGCCTTGTACTATTAAGTTCACCTGCATTAATTAAGTCGTATGCGGTAAACTCGACTATATTTGAAATAGTTACAATCTTTATCCTTCGGCTAAGCATTATGTGTGTAGTGGGTAAAATAACCTCACTGTGTAATAGCTTGCAAACCACACTAGAAATGTAAACTGTACTAGGCAAGTCGTATGCGGTAAACTCGACTAAAAAAACATTGAAGTGGGATCAATCCTAAATCATCCACATGGATGATGACCACCCTCCAAACCAACTAAACCATCCAAAACATATTTTTGTGATTATTAGTTCAGGCTTGAGGATAAATTCTAAATATTTTACTTATCACACGTGCATCTTGTAAGTTATGCGTTTATTTTATATCACTTAATAAAAGTAATTTTAAACGATTGACGAAGGATGACCCTACATTTCGGCACATATTTAGCTTTGAACACGATGTAAATTCGAGAAAAAATGATTACATGCCTATATTATGCAGACATTTACGATGTTTGTTGGTAAGATTGCCCAAAGAGTTGTGCTACGTCGGTGGCTACCACACACAAAGGTGTCGGTGCCTATATTTTAGTCCAAATAAATTTAGGTGAAACCCCAGATCAAGCACGCATGTTTCCATCTATTCTTCAATTCATTTATTTTTCTTTTTAATTTGTTTTAAAATGAATGATTTTTTTTTTTGTTTTAGCTATTTTTTAATTTCATGTATGACAATTTATGACCACAAAATAAAGGTTGTTTTGCTACATATGATAATATAATATCACAAAATTCAAAATCTTT